TCGGAAGAGACTATGATATTGGGCCCATGGCTAAGCCGCAATACACCTAAGAGGTCACACATAAAAATTAAGGAGAATTGAGAAATAGCTGAAGAGAATTGATTATCCAAGGTTGGCTAGCACCTACCAAGGGTAATAAAGACATTTATATTATCATCATTGAATTAAATTCAATGGAATGAACAATTTAAAAGATTTAAATGTTAAATGGAATTAAGTGTAATTCTAAGTTCATAATTAATCATTTTCTTTCTATTAAATTAGATTTAATAGTGGTTTGTAATTGTAAATATATAAAAAATTTAAGAGTTAAATTGTTAGTTATGATTAATGTTAATCTAATGTCATTATTTAAGAAGTTTAATAACTTCATAATATTATGAAATTATTTAAACTCCAAAAAATTATGGAATTGTTAAGGAAGTCCAAACAATTATGGAATTGTTTAAGGAAGTCAAAACGATTATTGAATTTTTTACAAGGCAACAAATAAGAAAATGATATCAATTTTGGAGTAGAGATCAAAGATTTCTAAGAACCCTAAATATCTCCTTGGCCTTTCTTTTTTTTTTTTTTTTTTTTTTTTTTTTTTTTTTTTGCTTTAGTGTGATACTCTTTTGTTTATTTCTCTTAAATTAAAAGTCTATAAGGTTGCTAAGGACTTAGGTAACAGCTCTATCTTGTGTTTTCAAACTAATTGAAATTTTTTTGCAAAATCCTAATATATATTTTAGTATTACATGCACCAAATGCTTTTTTCTCCATGCATTCCAACCTTTAATTTTAACTTATATTTCCCCATTAGTTAATAAAAATCACAATATTTTCCTTTGATGTTCAGTATTCCTTGCTCTCTAGATCTATTATTCTTTGCTCTCTAGATCTTCATAACTTTAATCTATTTCAAATGACCTGATGGATATATATTTTTTAGATCTCCAGCTTCTTTGATTACAATAATGGTTGTATTAAAAAAAAGGAAGAATAATAAATTCAGTTTTTATTAATGTTAAAGCCAAAATATTAGTAAAAAATTCGCGAACACAAAGCTTAAGCTTTTCATCTCTTAACCAAACCAATCTTACACAACTCCAAGATCTGTAGAACGAATAAAAATATTCAAAAACTCAACTAAGAAGAGGTTTTGTCGGCATGGGTTCTCCAACGCTTAAGTGAACAATGAGTAAGATGAATATGCTCCTAGTGAGCACATTGTAAGGTTCTACAGCAAGATCTTTCCCCTAGACTTATTGACCAATAAAAAACAAAGAAGAAGGTTCTCTGCTACATACCAAAATCCTATCTCAAAGAGAAAATTAGTAGTACTGAATAGTGTACTTTCTTGAGAAGGGAGTGCCATTTTCTTTATATAGTATTTGGATTTCTTGAAGCTATTGAAAAATATCCGAGTGGAAGAGTGACATATGGCATTTTCTAACCGATTAGGGTTGAATCACTAACGCCTTTCTTGCCAATCACCAGTTGTAGAGACACCTTTTTCTTAGCAAAAACCTAGAGGAATTGTTCCCTACAATGATTATGAACCTGGCCAGGACCTGCCAGTTCGACCGTCGACCGGCCTCTTATTTGGTCCAGTCAATAAATAAACTCGTATATATGTATACACCCAGATTGGACCGGAGTTTGACCGGCAGAATAGTAGCAAACCGTTCCTCCAACCAGTCTTGACAGAACACCAGTTCGCTTATACAAAATCCCCAAAATTTCATATTTTCATTTTTGCTTTTACGATTGCCAATTCTCACTTCTTCTCATCTTCGCATCCCTTTGTGTTCAACCGCCATTCCTCTATGTTCAATCAATCATCATTCTTTGTCTTCAATTCTTATCTCTCGATTGAATTCTTCGATTGTAGTTTTTATTTGATTCGTTTGTTTTGTTTTGTTGAATTTTCATTCAAAATTTTATACCTTTTTTTTATCCTATGGTTGTTGTTGCTAAAATTGCTGGTGACCAAACTGTCGCCAACACAACCATCGCCACCACAACATAACTACCACAACATAACTACCACAAACAACACCGCCAACAACAACAAGAAGAGTAACAATAAGTTGGAATCGTGGGTTTGATAGGGGGCTTTTAGTTGCTGTTGTGTGTAAGGAGCCTAGGAATGTGTGTGTGTGGTGTTTTGATCTTGCTCGTGCAGGTTTAAGGTGGGCGGGAGGTGTGTTTTCTTGTTGGTGTGAGGCAGGGGAGGGCTGTTAGGCGGAGGTGCAGGTCTCTCTTTGAGAGGAGTGTGATGATTTAATTTTCTTATCCTTGTACAGGTGGTGTGTGGAAGGTCCCTTCCGCTGTGGACTCTTGTGTGGATTGTTTTTTCTGCTACTTTGGTTCTCCTGGGGAGAGTTTTTTGTTCTGTTAGGATGATCATTGTAAAGTTTATTTCGTGTTGCAGCATTGGAGTTTTTATTGTGTGGCTTCATGAGCTTGGTAGAGACAGGTTTGGTGATTTTGGCTGCCACTGCAGCTTGGAAGTTTTTGAGCAGATTGGGGTGATACAACTTGGCTGTGTAGTTTTGGGGCTTTTTGTGTAGTTTCCTTTCTGTCCCTTTCCGTTTGTGGTTTATGGGAATTGGTTATGTAGTTTGGGTTCATCTTTGTGGATATTTTGTTCTCCCATGTATAGTTTTCTTGTCCATGGGGTGGCTAGTTCTTGTAAATGGCTTCTGCTTTTGTTTAGGTCAATCCTTATTAGGATGGCCTATCCAGTAGTCCAGGTATGTTTTTGTCCCTTGGGGTCTAAAGGGGGCTGGCCGTTTATTTAGGTGTACTTTTTATTCTTTATCGTTATGCATTCTTAGTTGTTGTATGTTTTAGTCTTTTATTGAATTTTGAAAATTTTGAGTTGTTTTTTATTTATTTCATCATATTAACGTTAGAATGATGATGTCATTGATCCGACCCATCAGTCAGACCAATTCAACCGATCAACCCGTGACATGACCCCCTGACCGAGTCAACAAACGGGTCAAATTCCTAATCATTGATTCCCTTAGCCTACTCGTGTATGGAATGATTGAAAGAATCTATGTGGATGGATTAGCTCCTGTTTCTCGCTATGGCGAGAGCTACGAAGGGTTAATTGGGCTAAACGCATAATAATGCTACCCCTTTCAATGGTCGGCCACACTAGATTACCCATATGTGAAGAACATCTTGCTCGTGTAGCTATCGTTCTATGCCTCCTTTTATATCTTGGAGTTTATGAGGCATTTAGAGATGTAACAATCTCTAGCACACAACAATTAATTTAGTTTGTGGCTGAATTAAATATTATAATGAGAAAGTATATTTTGATCCACTTTTTTTCAAAAAAATCTTCTTCAATGTTTAATTTAGTCTAATATATGTTAAGCCTTCACCTACAAGTTTAAGCTTTTAGGTAAGATGACAACTTAATATGGTATCAAAGCTAAAGGTCTCAGGTTCGAATTTTCACATACAAACTAGATAAAGAAAATGAAAAAAAAAAATCAAGTTTGAAGTGAGAGGACGTATTGGTCTAATATATGTTGAGCCCTCACCTATAAACTTAAATTTTTATATGGGATGTCAACTTAACATTCGTAGACTATCATGAGAGGATAGTTATTTTCTAAAATCTTTTCTTTGATTGTCAAGAGTTGTAAAGTCCATCCTTTACCCATATTCAGGATGGATAGATCATATTAATGAATTACATGCAATTTATTTTCAAAGATAATATAACCATTGATTGAAACTTATTGCAGGGTGGATCACTTATACATTAAAGTCGGGTCTGTTATCTGGTTGCTTTTGAAAATTTTAATTTGTCTAATGTAAAGTAAATATTAGTTCAATAGGCCAGCTGAAATTTGGATTTTTTCTTTTATTTAGTTGAAATATGGGTGTGTAGTTATCATTCCACCTAAAAGTTTACGTTAGAATTCAATATTATATTAGTCCAATTTATCTGGAAAAACTCTTTTTTTTTTTTCTTTTTTTTTTTTAAAGAATTTCCTTAAAACAAACTAGGCATGTTTGCAAGTGAATCAATTACTTCCATTGTTTTGAAACCCAACCCGTTGTGAGACCCAACAAGGTGATTGGGTCACGAGTCGATCGGTCCAACTGGTTGGATTGGTGACGTCAAGAACAAAAGTATTTCAAAAAATTATAAATTAGTCCCTTAAACTTTAGTATATTAAAAATACTCCTAAAAGTACAAAATAGTCCCTTGAATTTTAATTTATTGTAAAAATACCCAAAATATTAGAATTAGTCCCTAAAGTATTGCAAAAACACTCCTAAAAATTACGTTAGTCCCTATAAATTTGAAATATAGCAAAATCCCCTTGGAACTTGAACCGAACCGGAGAGTCTGTCAAGTTCAGTCGAACCGGTCTGACCAACCGGTTCGCTCCGAGTTTTAAAACCTAGATTACTTCTACAATTAGTTAGGGTGATGATAGAAAATACTTTTAAACTTTTCGTGAGATTTCTGAAGCACAACCTTGTTTCCGTTGTCTTATGATGTCCCTAACTCTAAGGAGTCATATGTATTGTCATATTTTTATTAATTTAATAAATACGTTTTATTAATTTTTATAAGCAAGTTTGTATTAGCATGATTTAATTTTTTAAATATATCTTTTCAATTCATTTGTTTAATGTCAAATTAATCGAATAACAAATATATTATGCTTAATTTCAGACTTGTTAGTCGAGACGGCTTTCTCTTATTCATAAAAATACTATATGCCAGAGAAACATTAAACTACTTAAGTACCATTGATAAATGAACATTCAGAAATCACCATAATATCAGAGAAATACAAGAAGTGACACGCCCAACACAGGAAATTAAGCTCAACCAAGTGCACCAAAACAACTTAAAGTGCATAAATCATCTGGTCAAAAGTAAACACCTGAAACAAAGACACCACAGTACGTTGGAATGCATGCACGATTGAAATCTGATGATCCAAGTATATAACAACGAAGTAGGCAGTAATTCAAGGAGAGAGAGAGTAATTAAGGATTAGTTGAGTGAGTAGGGACGATGGGAAGTCCTTGGGCAATGTAGGCTTAGGAAGGTTATGCAAATGAGGAACTGCTGGCAACTCAGGCTTTGGCAGTTCAGGAAGTTTAGGGAGCTCAGGAATTTTGGGGAGCTCAGGCTTTGGAAGCTCAGGCAGTTCAGGTTTTGGTGGCAAGCCAACCTTAGGCAATGGTGGTAGCTCGGGCAATTTAGGCTTAGGCAAATCCGGCAATGGTGTCTCCAAAAGTTGACGAGCACCCACCAAATTAGCATTGTAGCTAAATGAAGATAAAGAGATTAGCAGAATTGGTAAGATAAATGATGGGATACGGAGATTGGCCATTTTTGAAATTGATTATGGAGAATGGTAGAAGGCTTGAGTTGAAAAGGTCGTAAGTGATGAGTTTGTGGAATGATTTTTCATGTGAAATAAAGGAAGCTTTTTATGGATGTGGGAAGTGGAGAACAGGGGGTTAATTTGGTAGACCAAAAAGAATAAATAAAAAACCAAGTATCTTGCATCTTGTATCTTGTAGTTAGTTCAACTTCTCACCTGAAGTATTTCGAATTCTAGATTTACATCGTCATCACTAGTATTGTCGTGCACGTATAGATTTGATTGCTAGATTTGAGTGCTATTATCTGCCATCTTTGGAGAAATAAAATTCATTTTGTTTAAAGAGCACTTGTCATCGTATAGGAGAAATTTAAGTTTATTAAGTGTATGATATTTAATAGAGTAATACTATATTTATAATCTCTTCTCACAAATTTTCTCTCTTAATCTCAACATAGAAGCTCGTAATTGGTCAAACATAATTTATTAAATAAGACCCAAGTAAAACTTATTACTAGCTAATCAATTGTTAGCTATAACATCGAGATTGTGCGAATAAGTTATGTGTATAATATCTCTTTTCAATAACCATTAATTTAATTTTTATGTAATAATATGGAAAAAAAAAAATCTAGAATACAACTCGTCAGAGAATATAAACAATAATTGATAATAAAAAACTAAGAAACCTTGTAATATTAAAAATTAATTGAATTTATTACTGATAAGAGCATGGGGTCTAAAATAATTAAAGCATATTTCGAGAAAAAAAAAATAGAATTAATATAACAATTAAAACAAGGTTAACGTAACTGCCTAGGTGTTCCTTCAGCTGTCTGGATCAAGAAGATTAATTCATAGGTAGTAAGAAAGATAAAATACAAATACATGAAGCAACAATAGTAAAATTTAAAATGGAGGATTATAGTAGTTAGTGAACGACAGACGCCCATATTAATTAGCAAATTACTATTGAAGATCCAATGAAGAATAGATCCAACCCACAGGAAAAATATTTGTTGTTTAAATATTAATTAATTACCAACTGATGAACCAATAGCTTTTTCGAGTTCAGGCCAAATAAGGTGCGTATCCATATGATCATAAATCCATTTAAATTATAGTTAATAAACTCATTCAAACCAACCACAACTACATGCATTTGACATTTTAGTTATGTAGGCTGGATGAGACGGTGAACTAATTAATGGTGTTTTCCACCATATACTAGTCCTTTTGCTTAATATTGACCTAGCCTCAGAGGTTTCTAGTATAAAAATACAACACTAGTCCTTTTGCTTTCACTATTCAAATCTTAAGAAACTCTTTGTTTCATTGCTTAAGATTTGGCTCAAGAATGGCCTCCAGGAATTTCTTCATCTTATCTATTTTTGTTGTTTTGACAACATTTTATTCTTCGTCATCTATCTTTGCCAACCACACAATAACCATCTTTGCCAAATCCCACATTGCCACCACTTCCTTCTATGCCTACCATTCCTTCTCTTCCAAAGCTCACTATCCCACCCCTTCCAACCATGCCTTCCATCCCCAAGTAATATTCCCTCTATTCCATTCCTCACTCCACCTTCTTCAAATTCTCTCTTTGTTCAAATTGAAAAGTAGGTTGAATGAGATTTTGACCCCCTAATTATCACAAAAGATTAAGATTTCTCCCTGTTTCAAAAACACACAACATCACCCTTAACGTTAGTCTTCATCCAACTAAATGAATAATTGACCTCCTTTGACCATTAAATTACCATTTTCAACTTTTATTTTCCTTAATCTTAAATTAATCCAAAATTAATATTACTCGCATTAATAGAAAGAGTAATGATTTATGTACAAACTTCTAATACATATTCCCTCAAACAAACAGACGTGTACTTGTAAAATGATTAGGTGACTTTGAACCAAAGATAAATTGAATAAAATAAAAAATTATTATTCCCTCATACAAACTAACATATTTTAAAACGATTGGGTGACTTTGGACTAAAGATAAACTAATTAAATAAAAAGATATTACATATCAAACATGCAAGGTTATCACATCAATTTATAGGTAGTGAATAACTTTTATCAATAGTTTGTATATCTAACACTATTCTAATCGAAATTAGTTCCAATTAATCCTAATTTAATCCAACTTCATCTCTCGATTTAATTTAAACATAGTCTCAAACTATTCATCTGACTTTTTAACTTAATTAACCTTATTAAAATATTAAAAAATTTGAACTGATGAAATAAAACTAAAAATTAAAAAGTTTTAAAGAAAAACATTCCCCACCCCCCACAACCACCTCCTTCATCCCCTTTCATCCTACACCCTGCAACCATCTGTTTCCTGCCACCCCACTAGCCACACACCATAGCTATTGTAGCACCCAAACTTGCAATGAAAAGAGGACCTATGAGAGTGGTGAAGGAATTGCTTTTTGAATTAATTTCTTTATTTTTTATTTTTAGTTGTAGGGTTTTGTATTTATAAGGTGTAAAAGAGTGATTGTATAGAGTTTTGTTTTTGTTTGTTTGATGATATATATTTTATACAAATTGATGAGAATTTTTTTTTTTTTTTTTTTTTAACGTTAAAGTTAACATTTGAATTTAAAAGATGAGAGTAACGTTATGTGTTTTTAAATCAAGGTGAGCAAATCATCTTTTTTGCGATAGTTTAGGGATCTTATTTACCCCCAGTTAGATCGTTTAATTTAAAACGCATTCTCTATTATTAAAAAGTATTAAATAACTTCTTATCATGGGTTTTTTATATTTTTGTAGTAGATTGTTTGATACTTTTAGAAGGGTTTTGGCATTTTTTTAGGATGGTTTGTCTTATTATCATAAGTGGTATATAACTTTCAATAATAGTGGATGCATTTTGTAATAAGCAATCTTACAAGGGAATGAAACAAGGTCAAAATGTCATTCCGCCTGGAAAGGGATTGTATACCCCTAAGAGAGCATTTGGATCGGGGATAAATAAGATAACGAGGGTAATCTTTATTTATTTTGTAAGATTCATGTGTTTGGTTTACAAGTAATAAAATATTACAAGAATCTTTTATTGTAAATAGTGGTTACTGATGGTAATGTGTGAGATAATCTTATTACCTTGTTATGGGGTATTATTAAAACATTATCGGGGTAATATGATTTTTCTAGCCATTTTGCCGTTAAATAAAAACCATTTCGGATACAACTGCCCTCAAATGTCTACCAAATAATAATAACTCAACCCCCTACATTTAAGAAATTAGCTAAAACACCCCAACCATGAAAAAGTTTAAAAGTTAACAAAATACCCCCACCCAACCAAGATCACCGCCAGCCATGACTCACCACCGCCAACCACCAGTGTTAGTTCCCGTAATGGTGCATGGCCAACGGGATCTAACCGGTCATGCGTCGGTAAGGCCTTTTCTCTATGGTAGTTTCACGGCCAAAGATGTGACCGTAAAATGGCATGGCCAAAGATCTGGCCTTTTCACTATCAGATCTATGGCCGTTTCACAGCCACATCTTTTGCTACGAAATACCTATAGATCTAGCCGTTTTTCAGACATGGATTTGTGATCCATGGCCATTTCCGGTTTTTTCGGCACACGACCGACCATATACGGCCAGTCGTGCGCAATTTTATCGACTACTGGCAGTGGTGGCTAGCTACCGACAGTGGCTTGGGGTGGGTGGGGGTGATTTTGCTACAAATTAAAGTTTTATATGGTTGGGGTGTTTTAGCAATTCAAATGTATGGGGTTAAAAGAATGATTCAAAAATAAATAAATAAATAATAATAATAAATACTATTATATTAATATTTAAAAAGGAGAGCAATTTAGTAATCTATATAACATACCCATCAATTTATCCTCCCAACCAAACATATGATTCACCAATTTATTCTAACCAACCAAACACATTTTCTAAACATTCTCAGTAATTTCAAGGTGATCTTTATTTCCATTAATATAATATACACCTATAATAAAACATTATATGATCCAAACGCCCCCCTAAAAATACAAAAATACCTTAAGGAGAATACTAATACTTTTGAGGGGGCATTTGGTTCAAGGAATATTGTATTACTAGAAATGCTATATTAATGAAAATATAGATAACCTTGAAGATTAATGAGAATCTTATTAAAAATATGTTTGGTTAGATAGGATTAAATTGGTGGGTATGTTACATTGACATGTTTAGTTGGGAGGAATAAATTTGTGGGTATATTATTTTTAGGGTTAGATTACTAAATTGTCCTTATTTTTACTATCATTATTAATTTGTATTTTATTATTTATCCCCAACATTTTATATTTAGCTAAAACACCCCCAGCAACCAAAAAAGTTAAAACTTAATAAAAACACCCCAGCCACCTTCCCAGGATTGCCGATCGCCGCCAATAGTCGCCTGAATAGCACACGGTTAGTCGGATCTAGCCGGTCGTGCACCAGTAATATCGTTTTTTACCATGGATCATGGCCACAAATCTAGCTGTGAAACGGTTTTACCAATCACAACCAGTTGTGCATCATTTCCATGACTACCGATGGCCAGCAGTCCTCTTAGGTAGCTGAGGTGGTGGTTGGGAGTGGTTGTGTTCTTAGGTAATTTGGTTGAAGTACAAGGGTAGTTTTGTCTTAGAAGTCTTGAGTATAAGGCTAAAATTGTCCATAAATTTATTGTAAATTGTTTAGATAACTTGGGCATTACTGTCCTAAAATTTTATTAATAAAGGGTAAAATTGTAACAAAAATAAGATTGTCAAGTAATCTCAGAATACTTAAGAAAAATGTGGTATTCAGATGACCACCTATATAACCAAAGTGATTACTATTGGTTTTGAAAGATTACCAGAATCTCATATTACTTGACAACCAAACATGATAATGTAAATAATATAAGATGACATTATCTCAATTATAGGGAATAACCCCCAACCAAACAGCCCCTAAAGGGTTTATTTTAATTCCTTATGAGATGAGTAAGCATTAAATTTATTTTATATTTTTTTAGGAAATTATTAAAAACACTATTTAAAGGGGATTTTTGATAAATTTTGTAAATGAGAGTTTTATTTTTAAAAAAAAGGGGTTTATGATAATAGTAAGGGTGTTTTTATTATTTTCTTATCGAAGTGAATGACTTTTATATGAAACATTACTGTCCGAAAGATTTGGATAGTATAAATAAATTAAGTTTGAGAGAATTTCAACAATCAGAGTGGCGCAGCGGAAGCGTGGTGGGCCCATAACCCACAGGTCCCAGGATCGAAATCTGGCTCTGATAGAGTGGCTTCCGAAATTTTTATCTATATTTTTCATGCCGTTTTGAGCCAATGTTTTGCCAATATAATGTCGTTTAGAGCCGAACTTATTAGCCCAAACCCAAACTGGGCTCAAGTTACCAATAATTTGGAGTTGATAATTGAGGTTTAATTCGTGAACAACATGTATAAAAACTTTGTACTAAAGTTGCAGGCACTCTAAATAAATTTGTGATATTCTTACTAATATGCAGGTCATTCTTTATATAGATTTACTTAAATATGAAAACTCTTGGTATATATGGTTTATTAATATTATCTTTGCATAAGATTGTTTCCAAAACTTTGTCTATCTATAGGTAAAACCTCATATTACAAGCAATATATATATATATATGAAGTTACCACGTTGACATCACAATTTGATGTAGGGAAATGATAACCCCACCTTTTGTTTTAGTCTTTTTAATTTTTCTTTTTTTAGACTTCTAAAATTACCCTTTTAATGTTAAAATTGTTTGATTACACTTGCATTGCAAATGCAAACAGATATGCATATACAGTGCCTGCTTTTTTAATCAATTTATCCTTTTCTGCCCACGTCTTTAATGAAGATGTTGATTATCTTCATAAAGGTTAGTGCTTTGTGTTCTCTGTTTCGGTAAATGTGTATATTTAAGTTACTTATGAATTAATAAACATTTGAATGATGTATGGTGAATTTCATGTAATAAACATTTGAATGATGTATGGTGAATTTCATATGAACAACATGCACGTGTTTGGTGCCCTTAGACCAAACATCTATATCTTGTAGATTACATGCATGTGTATAGTGTACTTTAGAACAAAGGTTTATAGTACTTTGATTTTTTTGCATTATCACTTATCTGGTTCTTTGGACTTATACAGTATTTAAAGATTTAAAAAATTAGTTAAGATGCGATCGAACATCCCGATTATAAAATAAATAAATAAATAAATAAGGTTTATAGCACTAGTAAATAGGAGAAGAAAGGGTTAGAGTTCATATACATAACAAATATTATAAATGTAACAATTAGTAAACTTGTCAAATAAAAGGACTATTCTGACAAAATGTAAGTGCTAAATATCATTTCCTACTACAATATATCAAAAAATAAAAAGGTCGTTCATGTTATAATATGTTACTGTTAGGACAAACGTTATGTTGACATGAATGAAACATGCTACAGATCTATGCCTCAATACTACAACCATGAAATCCATTACGAAAACAATGCTTCAGGTGAGCCGTTATGCAGACAAAATTCGTTTCTGCAACTGCAACAATCCTTTTTCACCCATTCACACACAATCCATCACCATTACAATCACACTTTAGCATTCTTTAATTGTAATCTAATCTCTTTCTCTGACATCGACACCATCTCAACACGAATCCAACAACGATAGCAACCACCACCAAACCCCCCGCCTTGTCCCACCCATCTCAAAAGAACCACTAAAATCAAACATAATATAATCAAGCTATGCTCAAGCAACACCCCCCTACACCGCCCCCGCCTTCGCCGTTAGCCGCCTCCCTCCGTGAACAAGCCAAATCTTCCCGCTCCATCATCATCGCCACCTCTTTCTTCTTCCTTCTCTTCCTTCTCTCCCTCTATTTTTCCACCTCACACGCCCCCGTCCAGGCCCAACCCGACCCCTTTTTGTTCCCTACCCGACCCACTTTTCCCTCCAAGATCCCCTCCGATCCCGCTCCTCCTTCGGTCGCGTATTTCATTTCCGGGGGATGCGGCGACTCGGGTCGGATCCTTAGGCTCTTGTTCGCTTCGTACCATCCGAAGAACCAGTATTTGCTCCATTTGGACCGCTCCGCTCCGCAAACTGAACGGGATCGTTTGGCTATAACGGTGCAATCGGTGCCCATTTTTAGAGCTGCACAGAACGTGGATGTGATTGGGAAAGCTGATTTTAGTTACTCAAGTGGGAGTTCTACGATTTCTTCAGTCCTTCATGCGGCATCGATACTGTTGAAGTTATCTAAGAACTGGGATTGGTTTATCAATTTAAATGCTGCTGATTATCCGCTTGTTACACAAGATGGTATTTTTCTTATCTTTTTTTTTTTTTTTTTGGCTTTACTTTTGGTGGCATTGTCTTAAATTTACAGGTTTTACCAATTTTTAGTTTGGTTAATCGGGTTTCTGAACAAATTCACATTTAATTGGTTTTTTTTATTTTGAGTTTGTTTTGTGGGTTATGCAGATCTTCTTCATATATTGTCGTATTTACCTAAAGAACTGAACTTTGTGAATCACACCAGCTACATTGGCTGGAGAGAGTAAGATCCATAAATTAACTTTTCTGATTTGTGGTTTTGTTTTCTTCGGTTTGCTGGCTGATAATGATATAATGGTTGTTGTTTAAGTGTTTCTCAGTGATATGAATGTGTTATGGTGTTATAGGTCGAGTAAATTGAGGCGGATAATTGTTGATCCAGGGCTTTATCTTACTGAGAAATCTGCAATGTTTTATGTTACTCAAAAGCGGGATTTGCCTAACGCTTTCAGATTGTTTTCAGGTGTGTGTTTTTTCTTTTCCCTTTTTCTTGATAAGCTTTATAATACTTTTGGTTCTTGCATTCTGTTTTGGTGAGGAAAATGTAGGAGTAGGCAAATGAGCACTAAAAAGTAGACATAAAAATCCTTTGAACGTGATTACCAAGACTGAATTTTTTTGGCAATGAAACAAATATTTACTGCTTACTAGGAAGCAATTTTTTAACTGCAATATCTTATATTTACTTATTTAGACCAACTGGTTATCCAGTTTAAATAGAATTTTTGTTTTGAGTCTAGTTAAATGGGACGTGGAAACTGCAAATTGAAAAGAAAATGAAAGCAGGTGGTCAAGATAGTGACTTAGATGTTTGTGGAGCAGCATGAGGAAGCACTAATGGTATAATTAGGTAGATTTAGCAACCATGCTGATGATGTTCGATGGAGTTGCACATAAAGGAGTCAAACTTGGTTTTTTGTGATTTTCTAAGTTCATTCAACTGATTACTGGTTCCAGACTCAGGTTGTATTTGGAGCAATAGGCACTTGAAGCAGTTCTGACTCAAAACTAAGCATATCCCTTCAACTTTTCAGTGCTTTTTAAGCGCATTTTAGTGGCTTTTGTATCTGAGCAATTCCAAAACGGGAATTTCCCAAAACTTTCAAATTGTTTTCAGGGGTGTATTTTTTCTTTTCTCTTTCTTTAATGAGCTTTTTATCCTTTTTGGTCTGGCATTCTGTTTCGGTGATGAAATTTGGGCAGGGCTAATGAGCAATAAACAATAAGCATAAAAATCCTTTGGACATGATTACGAATTCTGAAATATTTTTGGCAATAAGTTTCTGGAAAAGTTGTGAATTGAACAACTTTTTAATGCTTACAGGAGAGAAATTTTAATTGCATTATCTTACATTTACTAATTTAGATCAAGTGATTCCACTGTACATCTAGAATTTTCATTTTGAGTGATTAAACGGGACAAGGAAATTGCATGTTTAAATGAAAAAGCAAAGGGGAGGTCAAGATAGTGATTGAGAAATTTTCGCAGCAATATGAGGTTGTATTTGGTAGATTCGGCAACCATGATGCTCAAATTTGATGGAGTTAATCATAAAGGAGTCTGTTTGATGTTTTCTGATTTTCTAGTTCATTTAACTGTTTACTGTCCCAGACACAAAGTCACACTTGGAGCATTAGGCAATTGAAGCAGTTATCAGCTCAAAACTAATCAGTACACTTCACCTTGCTTTTATGAGTAAGTTAGAAATTAATGACTATAATTGGGAATTAACCTGTTAGCTTAACCAAGTTGTAACTTAAAATATTATTAAAGCCAAGTCGACAAAGTGGTCATGTGTTTTAATTCCCTTATTTTTTTTAATTTCAATATAATAAGCTATGGTCTTTTTGTGGGTGGTATGCCAGAGCTTGGATACTATTGTCGGGCTATTACCTATCAATTTAAGCTTAATAAGTCATAGTCAGGTTATAGTATGAGAATGGTGTAACTAAATTTGTGGCTAATAATTACCACACTAGTTGTCAATTGTCAATCTAGAGTAAAGCTAGCACTAATCAGAGATGAATGGGAAATCCAAGATTGGGTTGAAAGTTCTTGCGTGTCTAAGGACAATCTATCAGATTACTCAATCGCAAAGGGATAGGGTCTGATCTAAGAAAGCTTAAATATGAAAACTTAGCAGTAGAATCTAATTTATTAACCCTGTTATAGCAAGTATAACAATAGCTCCTGAAAGTAAATCATTCATCAATATGAAACAGTAAATCATGAAAGCACCAAGACACAAGATTTACATGAGATACAATAGAAGAAACCACAGAACTCTGTCCAGGAAAAAGTATGCACATTTAACGTAATGGGTTTATTGTAGAATACCTACACACTTTTGAGACCATACACTGTAGCATACACATCAAGGCATCCTTGGTGCAATTAAAAATCTGTTGCCTAAAAGGATCCTACCTTGATTGTGGTCAAAATTTTAGAACCCTTTCACTTTAGCTCACTTCTTAATGATGTACCTGACAACCATAGATTATTTCTCTTCTTTTTCTGAATTTTATAGAGATGAAGTTATCAGCTCTCAGTAACCTCTAATGTACCTCCATATACTAATTCTTTTTGGTAATTCTAGGAGCCTATATTTATAATCATGGGTCAATGTATGATGCCTGACCAAACTCTTGGATATATGTATAGTATTATGCTCATAATATTTGTAATCTTTCCTCGCTAAACACATACTACTTTAACACTAGTGCAGTTTTGTTCTTTATACCTGCTGATGTTTTCCATGTTATCCTCGGAATTAAAATTTGTTTAGCCATATGACTTCTCCTGTATATTAGCTACACGTTTAAAATGAAACTTCAAATTCTAGAATCCCAGGTGGCAAATTTTGTTGTTTTCATGGAGTGTTACTACTGCTGAATTACCACTGTTGAATGTATATCTAAAGTCCATGGAGCTTCTAGGGAAAACTTGTAGTTATTGGAAGAATTATTACGAGTGATTTTTTTTTTTTGTTTTTTTTTTTTTTGTTTTTTGCTTTCATTATCTTTACACCAAGGTGTTTATTATATTAACTTTAAATGACCATGGAAGCAAATAAATCATTTGGTGATTATCACTGCCCTCCTTTATTTGCACATGATTACTATTCAAGACATCAGCAAACACTGAGCTACATTTATGCATTTAATAAGTTCATTTCACTCATTTGGTAACATTACTAATGCCAATAGGGTGGATTGATATGGTGTACCATTGTTCAAATCAGGATTAAAAGGTAATATGCTGTGATGTATGTTGTCTTTCAAACAGAATGCCAGTGCAGGGAATCCTTATATTTCTTTTTAAGTTTGTTGGTTCCACTCCTTGAGCCATGTCCGATTCCACCACTCATGTTCTTTTCTGTGGAAAGATAGGTAATCACTGCCTTTGGGCTTTGAAAGTTGGCCTCTGGCAGGTTTAAGACCATGGATAATTGAAATGCTACACTGTTTACCAAGATGTCATTAATCTTTCCCTACCCTTTATATTCTTATAGCATGGGTAACTCGTGATGGACTAGCACTGAATGGAACTTATTTAAATTTTCATCCCTATTGACGGAGTCATTTCGTCTTATGGAAATCTGTATAACCATGACAAAATTTTGGGCCAGATGACCATCCATCGTCACCCTTTAATGATAGACTTCTTCTTTGACAATTGAAGATGTTCAACTAACAGTTGATGTTTTTTTCTCTTGCAGGTTCATCGTTTTTTATTTTGAGTCGTAGCTTTATGGAATTCTGTATTTTGGGTACTGACAACCTTCCAAGGACTCTGCTGATGTATTTATCAAACACACCTCATTCCCTTCCCAACTATTTCCCTACCATCCTTTGTAATTCTCATCAGTTCAACAGGACTGTCATTAACCACAACTTGCTACATGTAGCATTTGAGAATTCCTCCACTGAGTTTGATTCTATGGTTCAGAGTGGAGCAGTCTTTGCCTCGCAATTCCAATATGATGATCCGTTGCTGGACCGCATTGACGCAGAAATTTTAAATCGTAACCCTGGCCAAGTTGTGCCTGGTGGATGGTGCTTAGGTGAGTCTGGGAATAACACATGTTCAGTTTGGGGTGATGCTGATGTTTTGAGGCCTGGTCCGGGATCAAGAAGACTTGAGAATTGTCTGGTTAATCTGCTCTCAGATGGTAATTTTCGGTCTCGGTCATGTATGCTTGACTGATCTTTAGCCCACAATCCCACCAAATAGTATGGTGAAAAAAAAATAGAAAAAAAAAAAAAAAATGAATAGGAAAAAAACTTGACCAGATTTGAGCTTCCCTTCCATTTCAAAGCTTGTAAAAATTAAAATCAGCCTCTTATTTTTCAACAAAACGAAATTGCAGCTCATTCAGTGTGAGATTATCTAGACCGAAAAACAGATCTGTGTTTCGTTGCAAAAGAGGTTATTTCCATGATGCTCCACCGAGAAAGATCCAATTGTATTACGTAATGAACTTGCAATGCATGCTCTAAAATTTTGCAACATGTATGTAATTCTGGAATGGTTCTGATGATTATTTCAAGTGTTTAACTTATCAACCGAAACTAGAGGAAAAAATGGAAACAAAATCCCCTTCAGCATTGGCAAGAGGCTCAGTTAGTAGTGTTTGTAATTAAATGTATTTTACTTGTTTTGTATTTAGTATGTTCATGCAAAAAGTTATAGATTGATATGGTTTTCATACTGGGTAGCGTCGAAGAGTCATTTTTCTTAATCAACTGGTTGCAAAACTAGAAACATTCCTGGAAAAACGTCAGCATCGCCAGAACAAAACTGGCCAGTCCAAGACAACTGTACACTTTCGTTCTAAGTTCTTAAAAGGCCTTGTTGATGCACCTTCAGGCTTCAGGAATGAACTCTTGTTGACATTGCTATCAAATGTAAAAGCTGAATTTCCTGAGAGGACTAAATGCAAATGGAAGTGTTAACATTTGAAGAAAACAGCATTGAATGCTCAAAAGTTTTCTGGACTGTCATCCAATTGTTTCTCATCTTCAATATCCACCTCCAAGATTTCCTGCAACACAAGAATAACTTGCTATTTAAGTATTTATCAACACTATTTCTCGGATCAACGATTGTAAGAACCCATTTGCAAGCAATGACATGTTTGGCATTTCAGTTTAGGGTTTCTGTCAATGGTTAGATTGGTACAATGTATTTTTTCGGATGTTAATCCATCAGGTGACACTGACACCAATTGATATTATTTAACACAAAGGGGGCATTTAGATCATATAATTTTTTATTATAGAGATATATTATATAAACGGAAAGAAAGATTACCTTGAAGATTTCTAGGAACGTTTAGAAAATGTGTTTGGTTATTTCGAATAAATTGGTAAATAATATGTTTGGTTGGGAGAATAAATGGGTGGGTATATTATATATATTACTAAATTGTCTTCCTTTTAAAATATTAATATGATAGTATTTTTTATAATTATTTTTTGAATCATTTTTTTAACCCCCTACATTTGAAATTTTGCTAAAACACCCCAACCATGTAAAACTTTAATTTATAGCAAAATCACCCTCATCCACCCCAAGCCACTGCCAGCCACCACCGTCGGCCGATGCCGGCAATCGACAAAATGGTGCATGATTGGTTGTATATGGCCGGTTGTGCATCGGCAAAGCCGAAAATGGCCGTAGATCACAAATCCATGGTTAGAGAACGGCCATTTCACTGTCAGTTCTGTGGCCGTTTCATAGCCACATCTTTGGCCCTGAAATAGCCATAGAAACGTCAGATCTGGCCGAAAAAGGTCTTACCGACGCACGACCGACCAGATCCCACCAGTCATGCACCATTACGGAGACTAACGCAGACGATCGGTGGTGGTGAGTCATGGTCGGTGATGGTCTTGGTTGGCTGGAGGTATTTTGTGAACTTTTAAACTTTTGTATCACTGGAGTGTTTTAGCTAATTTCTCAAATATACGGGGGCTGGGTAATTGTTATTTGATAGACATTTGAGGGTAATTGTGTCCGAAATGGTTTTTAATTAAGGTAAAATGGGTAGAAAAATCAGATTATCCTAGTAATGTTTTAATAATACCCTCTAACAAGGTAATAAGATTACCTCCTACATTACTAATAGTAAACACTATTTACAATAAAAAATTATCGTAAAATTTTATTACTTACAAATCAAACACAAGAATCTTGCCAAAATAAATAAAGATTATCCCATTATCTTATATACCTCGTATTCAAACGGCCCGAAAGGATTATCAATGCGAAGAAGTACGGGATAGTAAGACTTACAGGGATCCTCAGCTTCAAATAATTGCCAAGTCTGGCAACAACAGTGGAACGTTTGTGCCAAAACCGACCCCTGAGACTAATCTTCACAAATGGTCCATCCAATTCAGCTAGTTCAACAACTCCTATAATATTTCTATTATTCTTTTAATCTCACCAGAACAATATGCATATAATAATCACATAAAAACTTAAGGATTCATCACCTGTAATGCCCACAGAAGTGTCAAAGAGCTGTGCCAGCTGCAATAACGAGCACAACGTTTCTTTCATTGTTCATTTTCTTATAGCATAGTAAATGAGAAAATGAAGCAAATATCTAAAACAAGTAACTTGCCTCAACGCGAGCTTCGGCTATGACTTGTCTAACGTTATCTTCAGTCAAATCTAGCGGTGGAAGTGGAACTCCTCCTCCTCCTCCTGCTGTTGAAACTGCTGTTCTTGATAACAATCTCCTGCTATCACCACTTATACTCAACAAGAATGGCTTCCTCCCGGGATTTTTCAGGTGGCAGTCGTGAGTTGGATATTTGTTAAAGACGTCATACTTATGACAAGTTGATAAGACCTTGTTGGGTGTACAATAATGGGGACAATGGAGAAGGAATGGCTCCATCAACACCAATTCTAATGTCGAGCTTATAACATAATAGTGTTAACATAACAAGATCATAAAATGGATGGATATGGTGCGTGGCAACTTCTGGACCAACCAGCAGAGCGTCAGGAAGATAGTGGCCTTTTTTTTTTTTTTTTTATTATTCTATTTCAAAATATAACTAAAGGTCAACAGTTCATGTTAGCACTTAGCACAATTTCTATTAGCAATGATAATTCCAACTAGCTTTTATTTACTGCAGAAGTTGTAATCATAATCGTAAGACCCTGTGAACGACTGTTTTCTGGTTTATGATTCTATTGACTGATAAAGAAACTTGTTCATTGCTCTATTTTAATAATATTAACACATTAGTAATAAAGTAAGAACCAAAAAAAGATTAAATATAACACATTTGTCTTTTTGTAAAATCTGTTGCAAATACAAATCCATATCTTGGAACTATCATCAAGTCTTTATTGTCAAGACACAGAAAAAATGGTTGGACATGGGGGTAAAGCTTGTTTCACCCATTTTGTAACATCATCTAGATTCCTCTCTTTGTAACTTTTCAGGTAACTCTTTTGTTACAAGAAGGGATAATATACAAGGCACCAGCCTTGAGGCTTTTGAAGTACAAATATACTCCACACATAGCTGACAAACTCCATACTAGATTGATTCCAAGCTCCTTCACCTCTTTTTGTAGTAACTAATTCTGTCAGATCTCTATCAACAGCTCCGAAACTAATCTTTCTCATTTTCCATAGATTCCTAAGAACTAACTAGAAAACCCCAAAAAATGTGGCCACGGCAAAAACAAGAAACAGCACTCCACCGATGTAGCCAACCTGATTGAAAATAAAGCAGAGTTGCATGAAATTTGAAGTTAAGCTTCGTTAAGGGTAATAAACAAGGAAAAGGTTTTGAGCTCTTACCAGTTTTTCAGAAATGTAGTTGGCAAGAAGAGCTCCCCCTAGAACTGCAATAGATGTTGCAAGTAAATGTCCAACAATTGCTCCACCAGCCACACCCCAAGGTGACTGTAGAAAGAAGAGGCAGGAATAAAGCAGTTAAGGTACATTCAGTTATTTGTTGAAGAAAACGGTGTGGTATATATGGTTTAAGTTCTCAGAAGTGGGACGCTCACCTGTGCAGCACCAAGAGCAATTGTTGCAAGCATAGAGCGATCCCCCCATTCCTGGGAAAAAAATAAAATAAAATAAAATAATCAAAATATGCTAATATTTGGAATCCATAATTCAGGGAATAAAACCTTGTACATGTGCATGCCCTGTACCACCTTTATTGACTGTACACAAAGAGACTACTTGCCTTGTTTGTTAAATAAAAGCATTCACAAGAAATTTGTTTTTTGTATTAAATGACAGGAGCAAACTCCAGTATAATGTGACACTACAATGGCTGTTTCCAGAAGAGAGAAGACTAAACCAATGAGCTGTATGTTTGTTTTGTATTAAAGTTGATAGAAGGAAACAAAACTTGATGCCAGCATCTTTCACCCGATACTTAATATTGCAGCAATTCAGAGGTACAAGATACTCACAGCGAAAAATACAAGACTGAATGACTTCCAGATTATCTCCAGTGGATTGGAAAGCCGTTTTGAAACCTGAAGACATTGAAGACACAGTCCATTGTTATTTTTTTTCAATTTAAACCAACACAGACACCCATTCAAATAGACAGGCAGACATAGAATGAGATGCTCAGTAAGAACCAAAGAGCAATTTCTCCCACATACCTCAGATAATGCACTTTGAAAACATGCACTCATAAAACTGACAAATTCATTTCTGAATAAAATACCAGGATAGATTTAAAATTAGAACATTACCTTCTCTTTCACAAGTTCCTCAGCTTCAACAAATTCATCCAGCCCAGGGCCGCTTTTGTCGCCACTCTTAGCTACATTTGAAGGAAGGTCCCATGCATCTTTTATTGATTTGAGGCCAAAAAACATCAATAGGGTTACAGCTGCATATTCTCCAATTGGCAACGCTGTCCCCAAGACCAGAAGACTTAATACATGAACATGAAAATTTTCTAAATAAATATACTCGGTAGTCTATTTTTCAAGGGGCTGGACATTGTATATATGGAATGCACCAACATTTGAAAGTTTTTTGTACTTCTCTTTATTAGGTAACATACATTATCTAATAAGTGGAATCATAGCACACGTTGATATATGTTAGGATCCCACATTAAGAGAGAAAAATGGTGGGCATGTGGTTTATAAGGGCTTGGATACCCTCCCTTAGTAAGCCGGTTTTCTAAGGAGAGTTCTACCCAAGCCCACAAAAGGACTGCCTAGGTCAATTCCTATCAAAGGCCCACTACCCAGCTCAATTCCTATCAATTTAGGAGTGGGTTCTATCAAATGGTATCAGAGAGAAACCCCGCCCGAGCCCAAGCGACCTGGGAGAGTAGGCCAAGAGAGAAAGGTCATAAGTGGCCCAGAGTATGCCACCCAGAGTGAAGCCGTCCAGAGTGAGCCAACGTGGACGTTGGGTCTCGAAGCGGAGGGGAATGTTAGGATCCCACATTGAGAGGGAAAAGGTGAAGCCGTCCAGAGTGGGCCAACGTGGACGTTAGGTCTCGAAGCGTAGGGGAATGTTAAGATCCCACATTGAGAGGAAAAATGGGTAGGCATGTGGCCGGTTTTCCAAGGAGAGTTCTATCCAAGCCCACAAAGGGACCACTGCCCAGCCTAATTCTTATCAAAGGCCCACTACCTAGCCCCAATTCCTATCACTTTGGAGTGGCAGCCCAATTCTTATCAAAGGTCCACTGTCTAGTCCAATTCCTATCAATTTGGGAGTGGATTCCTATCAATATACAACTGAAATTCATACCCTTAGGCAACGTGTAGGAAGGTTACAGAAGCTGGAAACTAGTGTTTGCAATCAAACTGGGTAGCACAATTTCACATAACAACATACTAGAATGAACATACCATGCAACAAAACTTTCAATAAGCAAAGTGGTCTTCCAATACATACCGTTAGATCACAAGCCGATAAAGTATCATAATACCTGTAGCCCAACAAAAATGGACATGGCACAGGCATTTCATGTAAAAAATTAAAACACATATTGGTTTCTTTTCGTAGGCAATACCTTTTTTCAGATAGGGCCCTCAATTTTCCAGGTTGATGCAAATTCCTTGGTATAAACTACTTATTGAATGTGATACAAAGTATAAAGTAAAGGGCATTTAGAGGAATGACTTAGCTGCTAGTGTTTTTTTTTTTTTTTTTAAAGCCAGAGATAAGTTCTGATAACATTTAAAATTTCATTGACCTTCTTGGCAATATGGCCTAATTACAGCAAGCCCCTTGATTAGAAAAATAGCAAATACCTCCCTTTAAGTGTTGAGAATCATCATAAATCTCTCATGAAGTCTTGTAAGAGATCTCTGGCTTTTTTCTAAACCAGGGGAATCTTTCTGTAACCAGAGGAGGTACATCAAATTTACATGTTGAAAATTTACCTGTTCTAGAATGATTCCATATACTTAGTAACCTAGAGGTTGCACTGGTGGAGGCTAAGATGGGATATTGTGGCTGAGATTAACTTTCAATGAGCATCAAAGAAAATAGTTGCACTAGAAAGGAGCAAAAGGCAGATGAGCAAGTAGCTGCAAAGAATCTAGGTTAAGGTCGTTCAGGTAAAAGAAAACATTCATGACTAATAAATACAAACTAATGGGGACTCAATGGGGTCCTCTAGTTGAACCATATACAAATCTATTAAGCTTTGACTACTGATTAAATTGAATGATTAACCAATACCTGTCAAGCATTGGAAGTTAAAAAAATTGCTAAGGCACAATTTAAACCGGTAATTTACCATTTAGAAACCCAAATGCTGGAATACAAAATATTTTCCTCGGAAATAGTAACAGACATATAAATATTAGCATATCTGTTCAGAAGAAGAGGCAAGAATTAATCTTACTTGTCTGGAATTGAGCAGGTACTGAATGAAACATTATTCCAATTATAACTGATAGAACTGTCATTAGCGCAAGAGCACCCATTGATCCCAGAAGAACCTTGTCATTTCCATAAAAACATTGTGAGAACAAAATTTAGTCCCAAACAACAAGTATATAGCCCTACAGGATGCCAAAGATGTGGACATAAAAACAAAAACTAAGAAAGCTAACTGAAGTGAAGCTATAAAAAAAAAAAGGCCGTCTAAAAATCTCTATAGGTCTAAATATAGAAAGCTAACTGAAGTTGAGCTATCCAGAAAAAACAACCTCAAAAGCTAGATCATAAAACCAAGACTAAATCAACCCAAAACTCCAAATGACACTTCACCCAAATGAATCAAACAAGTGAACAAATCTACTTCTTAAACTATCAGGGCCTGGCATAATTCTTTTAAACACAATGGTGGACGTGGGACACCTATGCAAAAACTAACTAATCATCAGTTTGAATGCAAATCAATCAATAGAAATACTAGTAAACCACTTCAAAGTGAGCATTTCAAATAATTCTTGTTCATTTCAGTTGTTTCGAACACCAAGGTCCTCAGCGAAAAAACTGGAATCCAGAAAAATGTTCTCCAGTGATTTTGAGGAACTTGGGAATGAGCAAGTACTAAAATTTGACAGTTGGAAACGACGGCAGTGATTAAGCATGTTGCTATGAATCTCTTTCTCCGTAAAGTATATCATGCACAAACAATTATAAGGTTGTAGATTTGATTGTCAACATGTGGTCATATTTTTATGTGACATTTTCCACTCTCATTTAGTATTTAAATGATTTATATTACAGAAAAAAACAAAAGTATCCTCAGATTTTTTACCAGAAGAAACATGTAGGTTTCCAAATATAACTTTGGAGACCATGTTAGTTATCTAAAACAAAAAACCGAACGAACAAACTGCAGAGAATAAAAAAGATTAGAAGAAAACATACCAATCCTTTCTCATATTGCAAGCCAAGAGTGCAGCAATGAAAAATGTCTGGAAAGATCAAAAAGGCACAATTTCAAATTCTAGAGCACATATAATAGTGGTCTAGATATTATATAGAAAGAATGATTAATGGAAACTCACCAAGCATGAGAAATTAGCTTTCACAAAATAATTCAAATGCTTAACCTTTCAAATGTAATGGCAATTACTAGTAGTAAACATTTCATTTCTTTTTTATTTCTGGATATCAAACAAAAGACTTTGCAATTTGTAAAACAGATGAAGCCCACTCAAATCAGAAAAGCCGGCAGCAAGTGTTCAAAAATATGTTCGTTTGTAGTTCAACCTTCTGTGCCACAAGGATCAGAGTTTCATTTTACTTAATGAGAAACAACTATGGAGTTCTTCAAAAGAGTGAAATCTTAAATTTTACAATTCCAAAAAATTAAGATAAATAATCAATGGTTCAAATACACTTATAAAAGCATTTTTCAATGAAGAAGAAAAAGAAACACACACAGAGAGTTTACATATACCAGAAAAAGTTCCAAGTGGCTAGAATAGTAGACGAACAAAGATAATATGAACTTTATATGGTAAATTAGCTACCTTGTCCCCAATTTCAGAAACAAATATTAATGAGAATGCTGCAGTGAACCCTGACTTTGCGATTGCAGCTAGAAGCAATGTTGGTCCTCCTTTCACAAAGGCAATCAATGAAAATACTAAAGTGCAGCCAAAGAGCACAATAGCAATAGAGAGAGGATATGGAATTCGACTGGGAGGCTTTTGACTGCAAATCCATTAAAATATATACATGAGTTGGATTGAAGGCAATCTCTTGGGGTCCAATTGCATGAACTTTGATGACATATAAGATCATTTTCAATAGTTCTTTTATCAAATGGATTTGGCATTTAAGTGCACTTGAAAGTTAAAAGTCAAGTTTCACTGAATTCATGAACTCAAACTACAACTGTAGCCTAATCTGAACATACATATGGAAGAGTTGAAGACAAACTAAATCTTATAGATGTTTTGGACAAATGTAAACTGCAGGAGGTCAGAAAATTTACAATCTTAAAATGTTCATAGTTTTGGCAATGATGGACATCTATGCCATCTCTTCAACAGAGGGAAATATAGAACCATCTAAGGAGGGCTAATTCCAAGTTATTCAAATAAAATGAAAAAACAATTAGATTAGAGTAGAAGAAGAAACTAATACAAAGGCAGCAAGATAACTAGATCACTTCTCTGGAATTTAAAAAAAATGGTAAATTAGAAGCTTAAGATAAGCTTTTTGATCCTTAATTTTCTGTTGCAGGTTATATTATCCATTTGCAATTCATAACATGCCCTCGAAGTTCAACTAACATCCAGGATAATTATGCTTTCATGACCACTTTTACAATTAAATCTACATACTGAGATATTATTAAAACTACTGGAAATGGCATTTTAAATGTTTAAACCATATGAATTTACTATCTTCTAGCATCAAAAGATCATTCAGGCCACTGTAACTCACTTGTCAGATGAACCGTCACTGGTTGGACCATTGACAAAGATCTTTTGATTGTCATTTTCCTCCCTGCCTTCGTAGCCCCCAGATCCAAGACCAACATTAGACGCGTGGGCTCTGACGTTGCCACATGCAGAGTTCAACCTTGATATTTCTCTACATCTTACTAAAAATAAGTTACTCATACTGTTGCAATGCTAAACAACCATAAATGCCAAATAGATTGCGAACAAGTAGAATTGAATATATATTAGAAAGTAATAGCATTAGAGGCGAGTCCACATATAATAAGTAAAACCTCAGGATGAATAAACTCACAATAATGCTAGTCATCCCAAAAGTTAATCCGAAATTCTTATCCCGAGTGATGTGTAATCTTATGTGGTGTTGATGTGTAAAAGAAGTGGTAATTTGGTAAATGATATTGCAATGCCAGATAAGATGACACATCACTTGTAATGTGTATTTTGGGATAACTTTTGGAATGTGTAGCATTACTCATAAACTTGTTAACTTTTTATGCAAGAATATGTTCTGAGGAGAATTGGAATGTATAAGCATTAACTTGAAGTAAACTAAAATTGCCTATTTTTAGTGATTTGAGTGTTCCCACATTTCAGCTGCCTCTAAATCCCTCAACCCAGATAGCTCAAATTCAAAGAATACTCATCTAAATCAAGTAAAAATGTCATACAATACTTAACTGACTACAAGTAAAGTTCCTCTATGGTTTACTGACTTCAAATTTACCCATCAAAAAGTAAATTAATGCTAAACATACTCTCCAAAAAAATTCATAAACACCCAATTGACATTGTATTTAAAGCAGAAAAACTAAAGAAACCGTTTAATAAAGATAAAATAGAACTTACATGAACGTGAAAGGGGACTTGTAGATAACTTAGCACAAGATGGCAATGAATCAACAAGAAGTAACAAGGGATGTTTCCCTCTTGAAACCAATGGTTTACTGAGAGCCAAATTCTGCATATTTTTCGTTTTCACACAAAGGGGTTCATAAATTCATTTCAATTCACTTCCATGCAAAACTGTTTTTGGCTTTCAAAATCTTCAAAACGGATAACGAGAGACCAAACTCAGCTTCTTCGCTTGGTGAATTAGCTGGAAAGCGTTTAGTTCAGTTTAGCTTTGAAGGCTGGGGCTTTAGCTGGCTGCCACGTGTATAGTGGAGATAAAATCGGAAGCTTTGAGACGGGGCAATAAAACGACGACATTTTATTAACTTCTAAGTTGCCTATTTTGTTATTAGAGGTATAAAACCGGTCGGGCCCAACTGATAAATTGGGCCAACCAACCATTAGGCCTAGGCCCATATAGGCCAGATATAAATTACGGCTAATCAAATTTGGGCCTTGGCCCATATAGGCAGGATAGATAATTAGGGCTAATCAAATTTTGGGCCTAGGCCTATATACGAAGCACTAGATCCAGAATGCGAAGCATTTGTTCGTGTCAAGCTAGAGCCACGCCAATTTTTTTTTTCCTATTATTTATTTATAAAGTAAAATTATTGTAAAACAAATTTTTTGACCTAAATCGTTATCCATTGACTCGAGTCAATCCAATGATCAAGGAAGAGAAGTTAGAAATTGTGTTTTTTTTTTTTTTTTTTTTTTTAATGACTGGGGGTGTCCGAGTCAGCTTACGCGCACCTCAACTAACTCTTCGAAACTTTGAAACACCTGCTAGGTAATAGCTCTAGTAGCCACCCCCATTAGCAACCGAAAAGAGATTCAAACTCATAACCTCTTTAATAATACACTCAAGAATCCTTATTGAACCACTCGAGCACCTAAGGGTTGATTAGAATTAGTTATTTTGAATGTTAAGTCAATAAGTATTGAGGCATTAGATTGTGTGGGATGAATGAATAAGGATTTGTTTCAAAATTTTACTTTACAATATCTTAACCATTAAGCTATTAAATTATGAGATTATCCCAAAAGCACTTTTTTAAATAAATGTGGGATATTTTAGTAGCAGTATAAGTATGTTTTAATTTGTGATTTTGGCATTTGAAGTTGATAGGTGAAGTTTTAAAGCTTAAATGTCCCATTCCCACCCGACTCGATGTTTCTTGTCCCTCATAAAAGGTTAATCATTTATTAGGTTAGACCTAATTTAATACTTAATTATATTTAATATTTAGATATTTAGTGAGAGGTTGAGGCTTCTGCATGAATATGTGGTTTATGTTATAAGATAAAGTAGGTTTAGAATTTTTGGGGATGTTTATCTTTCGATTAGTTCAACAGATATGCAAAACCAAGTTGTGACAATACAATGGGTTTTGTTACAAGGTAGCCCTCAGATAATTTACTTACAATTTTATGAGATTACGTGCTTAAATTATTTATTACATTAAACACATTAGGTTATATATAATTAAGAATATAAAGGTTGACAGTTACCATAGAGTTAAAGGCAGCATAAATGGAATTAGTTATTGAAGCTTTAGTTTGGGTATCAATGCAATAGTCCAATACCATTGATAACATTATAATAAATTAATAACGTAAATCAAGTATTAATAGAGTATTTCTTTAGACAAGTATCAATTATCTTAATGTTTGATATGAAAGTATTAATTGATCATATGTTATATAATACGTTGAAGTGATAATTGTTTTCTTAATTAGTGGGTGGATGAAAGGACTGAGGAGTGGCCACCACGATTGAGGCAATGAATTAGTGGGTGGCATCAATTCCACAATCAATCTCCGCCTCTTAATATCACACTAGTCATTTTCTTCCTTGGTAACATTATCTGTTCCTCTCCTCTTCTTCTCTCCCGTCAGAAATTTCCTTTTCTGTTAATACTTGAAAATTATTTTGTTAAAAATATTAACATCAACACAACTATACATAATAATAGAACCATATTATATATCATGAATATATTAATAGAAATTTTCTATATAAAAAATACCATATCAATCAATGAGTTTTCCAAAGAGACGTTTAGGTGACACGTAGCATCTTATATAGTATTTGAGTAAAATATCCCGACCATTTGACAGAGTTATTTAAATTAAAAAGAAAAGGTGTTATCATATTTTAGACAAAAACAAAGAAACGAGATGAAATGAAAGTCAAATCTCCATGGAAAGATGTTGAATATTTTCTTATTACTCTTTATTTTTTTCTAATATGATACAATAATTCTAACTTGGGCACGGGAGTTTCTTTTAAATGTTAATTTAAAATATGGTATAACATTATTCTAAATAAACTCATGAGAGAGTTTTACACATTTAATTCTTTTTAATTACTGTTGTGCGATAAAAATCCTCAGCCCAGACTAAACAGAGAAGCCTAGGGCACGTCCTTGTGCAGAGCATCAAGCTCAAGACTGGAGGAGCTTGGCAATAGGTGCGAGTAATCGACCCCCATGCACGGACCTAAGGTGTGACGAGATAAAAAAAGGGACCCATCGTGAGAAAATATCTACTCACTTAGTCAGATTAGATCACCACGTATAGGTTGCATACCTCGATCGAGCAACAAGCAGGCATGCAAACTCCACATGCTCTCCATGTAGCCAAGCCAAGATGATACATGTAAAGACACCCATTGTTAGAGGGGACATCCATCATTAGTTATGGCGTAGGGGCATGTGAGCTTCTAGCCGCCGTGCAGTATAGGACAACGTGGCTGATGGACTCACCATCCTAACAATTTGAAGCCCTCTCTCTCCATATAAAAACGACAACGACCAAAGGGGAGGCAAATTCCAAAAAAAAAAAAAAAAATAAAAAAAAAAATATCAAAATAAAAAAGGGAGGAGACAAAGACAAAGTTATCAACACGTCTCCCTCTAATCCTAAACTTTCGGCTAAAAAGCAAGCTGGAAACCTTTTTCCGATCACCTGAAAAGCTCAAATTGTTGTATTCCAAAGCTTATACAATCAAATAACATATCAGTGGATGTATGCCTTATTCTCTTTTTGGGCGAACCACTTTAAAAACGTCTAATTGTCTCATCATCTCTCGAGAGACACATCACCACCTTGATCGCCGCAGCATATGACATGGCCTTATACTGATTTTCAAGAATCATACACCCATCTTACTTTGTTCTCCCCAGAGTCAACTGAGCATCTCTAGTTGACGCGTGTCTTCTTCCTGACGCTCTAGCCAATGCGGAAATTGTCATCAACAATTACCTTAATCTTAGGTAATTTCAAAATAAGAAGATATTATGGGATGGTTGTATGAATTTAATTCGTTTTTCTTATCAAACAGTCATTGTCTTTACACTATTCATTACATATGGCATTAACTAAATTGTCAAAGGGCCAGTTAGCATGGAATATTGATCAACATGTTTATTTTATTCAACATTTAAGAGCCCTCCTTATTCATCAAATTGATCCATTACTTAGTCATTGGTCAAGTCCAAGTGTTGAACAGTCAGTGATGCTTATGTATATTAATTGTAGAGTTATCTAATGATCACGTGACAGAAGAAGATGACAAAAAATAAATTTATATATTAAGAAGGATAGTCAAACATCGAGTATTTACATCTGTATCTGTATCATCAGGTTATACTTATATCGACATAGTTATACGCTATCTATTTGTTTTCATATGGCCATGACGAATTTTATTAATAATGTCCTATTAAAACTATATTATAATATAATTGAAAATCATATCGAAGGCTGGGTTGAAATATGTTACAAGTGTCCACTGAGGGATTAAGATTCTCTCTTAACTCAAATTTTATTTAATTAAGCATTCATAATATGATTAACTGTTAATACGAATATTAATTGATGAATAAACTAATTAAATTGATTGATTTAGATGGAGAAATTGCATTTACCAACTACCGCTACCACCCAAAGAGAGTAGTAACATGGGACACGGGCCCACTCACATGCAAAAATACTGTACACATGCAAGAGAAGAGGCCCCACAGAACAACAATCAAGAGAAGTCAAATCAAGTGTATCTGAACCTCAACCTACTTGGACTAACATGCAACTGCATACTACAGAATCACAAGATCCTCGCCGCCACGTGCGCTGTCTTGGAGGTGACTATTATTTTACTAACTACTAATGGTCAATGACTTCAACTAAAAATAAAAATACAACTATGTTTTCTATCAATCACGTGTCGGTATCTCATTGGACCAATGACGTGTTTATTGGAGCTGATTGGGAGGGAGAAACTTCGGTTTGGTCGTCCTTTTAGGGCAGGCCGTTGCGTAAGCGGCCCGCTCCTTTACCTTGTTATTATCATTCCTCATTTGCCCTCAGCAATCCTTCGTATTTACCTTTATATCCCTTATCGACCCACTTAAAAAGAAGAAATGTATAAAACAAGGAAAAACCACGTGATATAATTGGAAAGAGAAATGTATTATAAGTACGGTTCACTTTTCCAATCTTTTCCTTAATTACCGTTAGGTGGATCCCATTCCATCTAATTATCATCACACGGCCCTTATTCTCTGAACATTAACCAAAATCCAAACATTAATTTTAATTAAATAAGATTAGTAAGAAATTAAATTAAAAATCTGTCTGAATAGTGTACGGTTTAGGAAAGAAACTGTGAGTGAGTTTTGTTTATACGTTATAAAAGAAAAGTAAGAAAATTAAAAGAAAAAAGAAAGGCAAAAAATCGACATCCCCTCGCTTGGTTCCCACCCAAAAGAAAAACCATTCAATAATAACCTAACCAAAACTCTCTCTCTCTCTCTTCCTCTTCTTCATTTCTCTTTCTTGGGTTTTCTTCTTCATTCTCCTTCATCTTTTCAAGTTTTTGGTTTTTGTAAAACCAAACAATCAGACAAAGAAACAAACATGGATGCTTTAGACACAGCGGCTTGTTTCATGGACGACTTGCTCGACTTCTCCTCTGACATAGGCGAGGAAGAGGACGATGACCACATCATGATGAAGACCAACAAAAGACCTAGAAAAGCTTTGTCTACCCTTAACCATAACGCCACCACCACCTTCGACGTTTTCGACCCACTTCATCCTAGCCCTTCACCGTTCCCTGTAAGTTTCATTTCTTTAATCTCTTTTCCCGTTCTGGGGGTCTCTGGGATGGCCGAGTTTCGCCCGGACTCGGTCGTTTCTTGCTGAGTTGACTGGATTCTGACTCGGTTAGGTTTTTTAGGGTGTGGGCCGTGTCGAATCGGCCGAGTTCTTCCGAGTTACGAGT